TTATCTAGTTGTGTTCGAGGGACAAGATGAACCTGGGGTCCTCCTACTATGCCGCCATCTTAGTTCCCCCACACACAATCTCTGCTTTTCATATTTAGCATTAAAATATTAGTATTTAGACCATTCACACTGAATGTAATTATTTATATACTGTATTAATATCTACGATGTTTATTATTGTTCCTTATTCCTTGCATTTGCTTTGTTTCCTTTTCCTTCTCTTTTTCTGCCTTGTCTGGTTTTAAGTTAGCATTTTGTATGATCCCATCTTGTCTCTTCTATTAACATATCAGTTGTACTTCTTTTCAAATGTTTTTAGTGGTTGCCTAGAGATTTCAATATACACTTTATACCATTTCATCTGTAGCACAGATACCTTGTAACGGAGTATTCCCAATTCCTTCTTCCCATCCCTTACGGTATTACTGTCATTCATTGCACTCATCTGTACCTTGTAATCATCATTTGTTCCAATCAGAGAATGTCCTTGGGCTGCTGCTGGACTGCCATCTTGGGTTTCTTTTTAATGTTTCTGGGATTAGATCCACTGGTTTCTAATTTTCACATCTTCTTCAATATTGGATTACTTGCCTCTTTTTCTGAATCCAACACATTGAATTTTTTTAAAGATTTATTTATTTATTTTAAAGAGAGAGAGTGAGTGTGGGGAGGCAGAGGGAGAAGGGCAGAGGGAGAAGGAGAAAGAGAATCTCAAGCAATCTCCATACCCAGCACAGAGCCCAAAGCAGGGCTCTGTCTCATGACCCTGAGATCATGACCTGAGGCAAAATGAAGAGTCAGACACTTAACTGACTGAGCCACCCAGGCACCCCCCTATTAAATGTTTTTAAGAGTGGGTGTGTGTTGCTCAGTATCAGACATCTATTTATTAGATGAATAAATAAACTAGAACCATACTAGGTGACTTATTTTTAAAACTTTTTATATACATAAAGGAAATAAAGAAAATTGTAGGAAAAACACTCAAGATGGATGTTTGTAAAGTAAAATTTCTGAGCCTTACATATCTGAAGTTGTCTTGATTAGCATTGAGTATTGAAGAGCTGGCTTTACAGTCACTGTTACTGATGAGATGTCACTCTGAAGTTATTCTTGCCATCATTCCTCCATAGTTGACTAGTTTCTTGATTCTTACTGGGAGTTTTAAGTTTTTCTCTTTGTTTTTTAGGTGTCATTTCATAACGAGGTGCTTTGGTTTATGTCTTTTTAAATTCATTTCTCTAAGTACCCTTTTAAAAAAAATTCATGTCCCTCTACTCCGTGGTATCTTTTTAAGTGATTCTCTTAACATATTCCTCCTCTGCAATTTCCTTGCACAGCTTTCTAGACTCCAATTAGGTGGCTATTAGACAACCTAAATTTATCTTAATGCTCTTATAGTTTCTTTCAAATTTACTTTTTTTTCCTTTTAATCTCTTACTTTTCTGGGAAACTTCTTTAACTTTATTTTACAACCATTTTAGTAAATTTTAGTAAATTTCCAAAAATCAATATAAAAATTATGTAAGACCATAATCACTTTCTTTCTTTGTATCCTAGGGTACAGTGTGTATTCTCAAATATCTCTAAAAAATATTAGAGGTTTTGAAAGTTTTTCACTTCCTACAATATCTCTGTTTCTCCTAGGATAACTTTTTTTTCTTTTTGTATGTTGTTCTTTCTGATATTTGAGAATTTTCTCAAAACTCTGCTGACCTGTGGTTATCTGTTCCTACTTGAGAGAAGGCTCTGGAAATCAACTGATGTGATTCACTAAATTAAAGAATAAAGAAGGAAAATCATATAAATCTCTCAGCAAATGCACTTGATAATATTCAACATCTGTCCATGAGAAAACTCTCAGCAAACTAGGAATAGACAGTAACTTCCTCAGTCTCATTAAACACACACACACACACACACACACACACAATGTATACAGCAAACATCATACTTAATGGTGATACTAAGTGCTCTTTTTCTAAGATTGGAAACAAGACAAGGATGTCCACTCTCACTACTTTTCCTCAACATTGTCTCTCAACTCCTAACCAGTACAATAAAAAAGAAAAAGAAATAATTGTTGGAAAAAGAAAAGGAGTTTTGCTTGCTGGTGACATGATTATTTATTTTCTATAAAATCCAAAAGAAATCTACAAATACATTACTGGAATACAAGAATTTAGCAAGATTATAAATACATGGTTAATATTTTCAAAAACCAGTTTTATTCCCAACCAATTATAACAAGCAATTTAAAAAACAATACCATTTAAGGCAATACCAGCTTAAAAAGCAACACCATTTCTAGTTAGGAACAAGTTTAATGAAAGATGTGTATGACTTCTTTTTTTTTTTCATTCAATTTAGTTAACACATAGTGTATTATTAGTATTAGGGGTAGAATTTAGTGATTCATCAATTGCATATAACATCCAGTGCTCATTACATCAAGTGCCCTCCTGAATGTCCATCACCCAATTACCCCATCCCCCTACTGACCTTCCCTCCAGCAACCCTCAGTTTGTTCCCTATAGTTAAGAGTCTCCTATGGTTTGCTTCCCTCTCTGTTTTTATCTTAGTTTATTTTTCCTTCCTTCCCCTATGTTCATCGTTTTGTTTCTTAAATTCCCCAGTCTAGATGTGTATGACTTCTTTACTGAAAACACTTCTAGAAGGAAAACTAAATAAATGGAGAGCTATACAATGTTAACAGATTGGAGCTCAATATTGTTAAGATATCAGTTGTAACCAATTTATCTGAAGGTTCAATGCAAACTGTATAAAAATCCAAAGGCTTTTCCTGTAGAAAGTGACAAATAGATTTTAAGAGACATATGGAATACCAAAAGACCTAGAAAAGCCAAGACAATTTTTCCCTGACTTCAAGACTTTCTATAAACTATAGTGTGCAAGCCAATTTGCTATTGGCATAAGGATAGACAAATAGATCAGTGGTACAGAATAGAAAATCCAGAAATAGACCCATGCTTACATTACAAATTGCTTTTTGAATATTTTCATAACTTGTGGTAGGCAAAGATTTCTTAGTACATTAAAGTTATTATTAAAGTATAAACCACAGAAGAAAAGAATTGATGGATTTGGCTTCCTCAAAATTAAAAATTTCTCCTCATCAAAACACATGGTTAAGCAAACCACAGACTGGAAGAAAATGTTTGTGATACATAGATTAAACAAAAACACTTCTTTCCATAATATAAAACAAACTGCTACACATCAATAAGTAGTAAAAGACAACCAAACAATATAAATGGGTCAAAAACTTGAACAGACACTTTACAAAAGATGCATGAATTGCCAATAAGCATATGAAAACATGCTCAATATCATCAGTTGTTAAAGGAATGCAAATTAAAACTATATGAGATCCCACATCATACTCATGAGAATTGCTAAAATTAGAAAAACTATCTCTAATAGACTTTGAAAAACAGTTTGGCAGATTCTAAAGTGGCTAAACATACTCATGCGATGATCCACTCCTAATTACCCAAGAGAAATGAAAACATCATGCCATAAAAAGACATCTACAAGAACAGCAGGTTTATTCATACAAGTCCCAAACTGGAATCAATCTAAATGTCCATCACAGGAAAATGAATAAGCAGATTGTGGTAGGTCCACACAATGGAATACCTTCAACTACAAAAAGGAACAAACTTCCATTCATCCAGCAGCATGGATGATGAGCAAATGTCAGGCACAAAGCATACATGATGTATTATTCCACGTATGTGAAACCCAGTAAGAGGCAAAATTCACACATGGTGACAGAAAGGTCAGCAATGTTTGCCTTTGAGAGGCCGCCTGGCTCTAGGTGGTCAGCTTGTAGGGTGAGGGGTTAGAGGTGCACTGTTCTGTTCTCCACTGTAAAAATAACATATAAGTTTTCAGCACCATGTCTCACTTGTGATCTCTACTGCCTCTTCAGGGTTCTTCAGGGCATACCAGTTGTTTTTCTGACCTCTGGAAGCATCCTCCACCTGCAACAGCAATTAGCATTCTTCTGACCACTTTTGTCATATAGATTTTGGTTGAAATCTCTCTTGTGCTCATTGCCCCACCATTCTCTTTGTCACTGTGAATCCAATTTCTTTATTATCGTTTTAGCAGGACTTTTAATATGGGAAGTAGCAATAATTCTCTTCTGGTTTGACAAAGAAAGCTTCTAAGTCTTCATAATACAAGATGTTGATTAAAACATTATTATCAGAGCAATAAAATGATCAACTAAAAATTGGAATTATAGACTCAGGTTTAAAATTACTTTCACAGGAAACATCAGTGATTTCTGAAATTCAGATGCCTGAAAAGATTCACTTTATATAACAATAACACAGACAGATTTATATTAACACAAAGTAGGACCAGATGTCCCAGGAAAAATGTTTGATATTCTTGTGAAATTATCAATTTATACTGTTTCATGTCACTATTAACCACATCTTATCCTTTATAAATTAATTTTATAATGTAGGATGGCATTTCTCTTAACAGCTATAGGGGGAGAGCTGGTTTTAGCTTTCTGACATTTTTTTTTTCTCTTAGTTGTTAAGTATTTTCAAGGTTAGACTTTTATCCCATTGCTTTCCTTTTTCCAAAATTGTTTTATTGGAGTATAGTTTATTCCATTGCTTTTCATTCTTCTGTTCGCTTCACCTCAATTTTGTTTAAATTTAAATTTTTTTAATTATAAAAATACTTCAGATATGTGAAGGTATCTTTACAATGACTTTGATCCAGACAGCCTGGAATAGACTTTTTCAGTCCCACATTTAAGTCTTTCTTAACCTCCGTGCTTTCTTCAGCATATCTTTGCTTGTTACTTCAATTCCATTTTTTCTGTCTCTGCTCAGCACTATGTACTTTATATATGTTAGTTTTTCCCAGCTTATTCTTCATATATAAATCTTACAGCCTCCATAAGCATCTTGGAATCTGGATGACCATTTTCACATGGTATCCTTCCTTCCTAGGGCACCCACAGAAGACCAGAACATTGATGACAGACTTATCTATGAGACTCTATTCAAACACTTCAAAAGACACAAGGTGGAGATTTCAAATGCAATAAAAAAGCCATTTCCTTTCTTTGAGTGCCTCCGGGACCGTGAACTCATCACCAATAAAATGTATGATGTAAGTGATGTTTTTTATGTCAGAATCTGGTAAACTGGCCCCAAATGAAGTTATATTTTGATATCCTGGACCCAAACATCAAGCACAACTAACCGATTGAGGAGTCTCCTATGAGTGGGGACTTTTTCAAATACTATTGCAAGTGTTCCTGTAAGGTAAAAAGGAAAAGGAGAATCAGTTGTCACCAGGGACCATCCTGCTTCTCTCTGAAGGAATGGTGCTCTGTGCTGCCCCTGGAGTTGGGCTGAATAGCATACCAACTGAGCTGAATCTGAAGCAGGAGTGCTCTATAGATGTATAAAATGCTTTGTAGGAATGTGTAGAATATAACATAAACTGAGAATTAAAGGTAATTTTAATGAATTGATGTATAACTTAAATGAGTTAATTTAATAAAATAATAATTAACACATATCATTTTTTTTTAAATTTTATTATGTTATGTTAGTCACCATACAATACATCATTAGTTTTTGATGTGATCCACGATCCATTGTTTTCGTATAACACCCAGTGCTCCATACAGTACGTGCCCTCCATAATACCCGTCACCGGGCTAACCATTCCCCACCCCCGCAAAACTCTGTTTGTTTCTCAGAGTCCATAGTCTCTCATGGTTCATCTCTCAACACATATCATTTCAATGGACATCAGTTTGAGTGCTTAGATCTGAGAACATTAAAACCTACAGGGAATTGTTGTCCTGTTAGGACAAAATTTGGGAATTGATGATTATTATTCTTTTGCTAGCAGTTTTCGGTTTTTAGGGTTTTTTTCTTTTTCTCTGTCTTTTTTTATGGTATTTCTGGACTTTTGGAATTTGGGTTTGATTTTAGCAATAGGCATTGCTGGAGATACAGAGATTCAAGTCTTCTCTTTGCTGGATGAATATGCGTTCTCTATGGCCAGATTCATAAAAGAGGAGAACAGTCACCTGGTTTCCTTGAGTTCTTCCAGGCCAAGTCAGTCCTGGGGAAAGGGTAAGGTCGTCCATGCAACAGGACAGCTGCTCATCACTGCTTAGTCTATTCCTAAAATATCTGACCAGGTTCTTAAAGGGCTACATATCATTTAACTTTGAACACACTGTTGTTCTTCAAAATCGCACTTACTTGCATCTAATATAAATGAAGGTGAGGAGATCTATTTCACAAGTGATTATTTTTAAGGAGGAAGGATTTACTTGTTTCACTTAGTATCTATATAAATAAATAGAAATTCTAAAACTTTATATGAGAAGATACCTATGGAGGAAATTGGAAGACATTACCCATAAAATCACTTTCTAGGGCTCTTCTGTAACTTGGAAGTCTGTATTTATATTCTCTCCATTCAATGTTTTTTAAGGATTGTCAAGATTCTTGTAGAAACCTGGTCCCTGTACAAAAAGTGGTGTATAATGTTCTCAAGGAACTGGAGAAGACATTTGACTTGCCACTTATGGAAGCATTGTTCAGCGAGGTCAACGTGCAAGAATACCCTGATTTAAATCATATTTATAAGAGCTTCGAATGTGGTAATTAGGTTTATTATCTACCTTTTGATATCCAGGGCCAACTTTTTTTTTTTTTTTTTTTTTTTTTTTGGACAAGTATATGTTGAGCTCCTACAATGTTTCACACACGGTGCTGGGGCAGTGGGGATATAACAATAGAGAAAACACAAATCATGAACATTCTCAAAGCTTATGGTATAATGGCTATGGTACAACACTCACCTAGAGTAGAGGTCTGCTTAACTAGGCATTTAGACTCACAGGACAACCAGAGCCGAAGTGCCATCAGATTTACTTAGAAGGACAAATGACAGGAAACACAGCATCCCAACTGGGCAGCATCAGTTGCTCCTCTTCTGTGGGATTCCTTGTGGAGACCCACACAGCAGTCCACCAAGTTGACTACTACCCACCTCAAGTGTCAGCTTGGCTGTGGATGTAGGATCCACCCTGGCTTAGCGGCACCATGCCCATGGGTATCAATAGGTCACATAACAGTGCTGTAGTCGTAACGTTCAGGGACCCTACAAGCGACAAGCCAAGTCATAAGAGTCACCACTTTGAAGGAAGACCAAAGTGCGCTTTGTAGTCTGTAGATAGTCCCTCCCCATCCACATGCAATTTACCAGTCATTTTTGACCCTAAACTAGGGCTAAGCTAGGTTTTAACTAGGCCGATGTTGGCTTTAGTAGAAAAAAAACCATCTTCATCAGGTTTCCAGAGTAATGAGCCAGAAAGTTAACCCAAGGTCACATTTACCCTTAAAGAAGGAGAATTGGTTTTGTTAACTCTTTCTCCACAAGGGGTGAAACAAACATTATTCAAATAATCACAAAACCAGTGCTCTGCCAGGTGTTATACAAAACTAAAGGTTTCATTCTCAATTTTTTCCTGGGAAGGCATGATTTTTATTTTCTTTTTAAAATAACCTTATTTTAATTTATTTTAAGGCCTGCAAGAGTTTAAGAGAATGCTCTTAATATATATACACTTTTTTTTTTGACTTGCCTAGGAAACTTTTTATTCTAACACAGTTTGGTGTCAATGGAGTTCTCCAGATAAGGGATAGAGACATCATAAGAAGAATGTTCCTGTGTCCTGAAGAGGGTTAGCACTATAGGATCAGGCGTGGAGTGTGAAAGCATCTAGTGTGTCTTCAAAGACGAATTCAATTTCTCTCAGAGAGTGAGAAGCAGACTGTGGAGCTTATTCATGACAGATAAATTTGAAGAAAATTTTAGGAAGTCTACCATATAAAGCTAAGCAATTGGAATTTTATTAATAGGCAATAAAGAGATATCAACAGTTTTTATAAACCAGAAAAAATTAAAAAGCAGGTATAAAGCATGTGGTTTGTCGACTTGTGTCAATAGTAACCTTATCTAATTAAGAACAAAATAATTTCTACAGCAAGTCAGTCCAGTTAGAAATCGAATAAAGGCAATTAAGTCAATATTATATTTGTAACCAGGACGTCCCGGGCCATGGGAACAGAGGGAGTGGCGGTTACCTGTCCTGCCCACACCTCAGGGGCTCTGATTCTCTCCATGGGCTGCAGTGACCCCCCCCTTCCAGGTTCAGTGTCCACATCACCTGTGTTAGGTTCCGGGGCTCCCCGAGCTGGGGTGACCTGCACCTACACTCACTGCCGCCCACCTGCCCCTGGGGAGATGGCAGCTGTCGCCTCCCAGACACTGTTGTCCATGGGAGCTGTAGGTCAGTGACCCAAAGCCAAGAATCTGGGGCTGTGGCCTGGGGGGCACACTCTCTCCTGCTGCCCGGTCCCTACCTTCATCCCATGCTCAGAGCCCCCTGAGCCACCATGGGACCACCTACACGCACACAGGCCCCCCTCACCTTTCCCTTTGTTCTCCTTGTATCCTCCACCTGGTTTTGCCACAGTCTGAGGCCAGGTCCTGGGATGACAAAGCACCCCTGGCTCCCACTGTCCCGTGCAACTCACCCCTGAGGGCCCAGCCCCAGGAGGAGCTCCCTCCATGGGCCCTGGAGCAGCAGGTTCCCTACCTCCGTGGTGTCCCCTCCTCCCTGGACTCCCCACAGACACCACCTCCCCACCCCTCCAGGCTTCATGGTTTATTTCCTTCCTCCCGTGTGTGCTGGGTCACTTACAGGCAGGGGCGCTGGGCTGGTGTCCCCCCCTCCCCTGATTGGGGGCCTCCCCACCCCTGGGGCAGGCCTGTGGGGTGGTCCTCCAGCACAGCTATCTGTGCTCCCTGCTCAGAGCTGCAGAGTGTCCCTTTGTTCCTGGGATCTGGCCCCTGGGAGGTCAGTCTTGTTCCTCCAGGTGTCCTCTGCTTTGTCTCTTTGGGAAGCGCTCACCCTCCCTGCCCCAACCCTCCTCTGGTCTAGCAGCATCTTTAGAGCAGATGGGCTTTCTCTTTCATACCCATGGATCTCTCTATGAGCCTAGCTCTTCTCCGGAGGTAATCCCTATTTCTTTCTTTCAGTTTGAATGGTTCAGAAACACATTTCACATCTATTATTTACTTTGATATACGCTTTTCCTGGCCATCCACAAATTCTTTTACAAGAGTAACGGGATCATGATGTTTCCTTTATCCTTACATTGGAGTGGCTCCTTTCTCTGTGGGAAACACAGACTCTCTTGCTGGGAGTTCTCTTTTCTATCCCAGGGATGATGGGGGAGCTTTACAAGAAGGATCAGAGGCACTGAGCTCGAGTGACCTGAGGGATGGGAGTTGCTAACTGTGTAATTTTGAGATGTTGTGTCTGTCCTCTGATGGGATCCCTAATTGCTTCCTTCCATCTCCCTCTCCCTAGCAATCCAAGAGAAAATTAATTACCAAGAAAGTGATGAAGAAGAGGTGGACAAGAGTCCTAATATCCGACTGAGGCTTGGGCAAGGTGATTGCAACCCGATAAACACTGATTCACATCTACAAAGAAGAAAAGGAGAAAGGGAACTCAGGCCCGAGTCCTGAGTGTATTTGGGGAATCAGGGAAGAAATGTTAAGGACCAAGGAAAAGGCAGGGAAGGGTGTTTGCATGAATGTCTAAGCAGAGCCCAAATCCTGGAGGAGTAGCTATGACAAGAGACTATTGGCCCAATAACCAAGGCAAAGGGGAAGAAACTCAATGTGTCAATAAACCAGATTTAAGCAGATTAACTGCCAGGAAGTAATTGTGATTTAGAAAAGTCCCGGTAGGAGAAGATTAGTGTGAAACTCTTAAGGGCTAAGAACCTGGACCCATGGCCAACATCAAATGATGGAGGAAGGACTGATTTAAATGTGGGGATGTTTTTCAAGAGCCCAAATATTCAAGGAGAAAGCCAGTCACATAGAGAGAGAAAAGAGGAAGTGGTAGAAAGATGAAGGGGAAGATGTGGGTACTTTGAGAAAGAGAAGGAGGGAAATGAAAGAGAAGAAAGGATTAAAAGACCCAATAGAAATAGCTGTGTTATTAATATCTCACTGGTTGAACATTTGTGCAGGTAGTTGTAGGTTTAGTGCTCAGGCTGCCATTGGAGATTAGCACTGCTTTTATGCCCATTTTGCAGATAAGGAAACTGAAATCTGGAGACAGTGTGTATGTAGTTGGTCTGGGGTCAGATGAGCAAGGGTGAACCCAGGCATTCTGAACCCAGAGCCTGTGTGTGTGTGTATATGTGTGTGTGTGTGCGCGCGCGTGTGTGTTAATGGAAGTAAAAATTCACATAACATAAAATTAACCATTTTAAAGTGTACAGTTAATGATATTTGGTCCATTCACAATGTTGTGCAACCACTACCTCTGTCTAGTTCCAGAACATTCCAATCACCTCAGAAGGAAGCTCCATATCACTCCCTGTGCCCCTCTTGCTTAGCCTCTGGCAAACAGTAATCTAGTTTCTGTCTCTTTGGATTTACCTATTCCAGACATTTCATGTAAAATGAATCATATAAACACTCCCTTCATGTCTGGCTTCTTTCACACAGCACAGTATTTTCAAGGTTCATCTATTTTGTCGCATGAATCAGTTCCTCATTCCTTTTTGTTAGTGGAGGGCATTCCCTTGTACGGATAGATTTATTACATGTTGCTTATTCATTCATCAGTTAGTGATGGGTTGTTTCTACATTTTGGCTGTGACAGAGCCTGCATTCTTAACCCTGTACTGCCACTCCGGGAATCTAATGGAAAAGACAGAAGCATGAGACAAAAATTGGGAAATATATGCAGAGAAAGATACAGAAAAAAGAATACCAAGAATGGGAGGACATAGAGGAGAATCGGACATGGAATCCTCAAGGAAAGGCCAATGAGACAGACTGAACAGATGTGTAGAGGGAGGGTGTAGAGGAAGAGGAGGTGGGGACGAGTCAGCAGGACTTTGTAGGAACTGAGTAAGTCCACTGGTCAGGGGCAGCTCTGGGGACAAAGGCAGCTTCACTATGGCCATGGGAGTCAGGATAAGCCATCACCAGTTAACTCAAGTACCTTGTGTGGGACATACAGTGAGACGGCCTGGCCAAGGCCCTCTTAGCCAGGGTTGCAGCTGACCCCAGTCCTCCACTCTGCCATTTGGGGTTTGACTGCAAGTGTTGTGTGGGATCTACCAAGTCCACATGGTCTCTGTATGGTTACCTGGAGGGGATCTTCAACTCTTGCTTTATAAAAAGGGAACTAGGGGAGAATGGCACAGACCATACTTTAATTTCTGAAATGAACTTTCAATTTCTTCCCCTAGGAACTGCTGAAAACTCATATCGAAGCCTGACCTGGTCATGCCCAGGGTCCTCATCTTACCATGGTCTGTTCCTGTTGAATGTGTTCTGATCCTTTGTGTTCTTGTCCCATTCTGGAATGTGCTGGGAGGTGGGGGGCTGCTTTTTCGTATCACTGATTGCCCAGAATCTCTGTCTTTACTAATGCAATTTCTGTAAGGAAGTTCTGGGGTGTTTGCCCTGGGATTCATTTCTTACCTTCCCCTGTTCTGCTCTGCCCTCTATCTCTGGCCACTGGCCTCTGTGGACCTACTTGCTAGCTCCCTTTGTTGCTGGCTTCCTGCTGGGTTCCTGACATGGGACCCTAACAAGAGATCGGAGAGTGGGAAAAAGGGAGAAGCTGGATATTTCCCCATCACTGCCTTTGTCCACAATTCTGAGTGTGGCTGCATCTCATCCATGATACCACTTCCCACCAAGCAGGCCAGCCATAGGCAAACTTCTCTCCACCCAGTGACCCTGACCTCTGGGCCCACCCTCGGTCCCTCCCACAGTTTCCTGTTAAGTATTTTTCCAGTTACTGCATTCTTCTATTTGGACTTCTCAGCTCTTCCATCAACTGTATAACCAACCTCCTGGATGAAATTCCCTGTGCTGTAAAAGCTTAGAGTGATTTGTATTTTCCTGTTGTACCCTGATTGATGCAAAGGGCAAATAAAATATCTATGAATTAAAACATGGTTTAGGTACAACCCCACCTGAAAATAGACTCTTGGAGAACCTCTGTGAACCAGAACAGATAAATGCAAACGGAACAGATACAACCAGTGACAAAAATGATGCACTAGAAATCCAACAAGCAAATGAGGAGTGTGCCCAAGAATCTGAGCCAGCAGGTAAGACTGACTGGGTTTGCATGAGTTTAGAGGGGCTAAGGGGTCCTTGTTGGTGGCAGAGAATGGAGTCGTGCCCAACTCAAGGAAACATCTATTAACAAAGAAGGGGAAACTTATGCAGATACAGAGAAGGCAGGAATGGAGCTTGATATATTGATGGGAGAGACCTAGAGGAAGAAAAGTTAGGAAGTGCTAGCTTCCACAAGCCTACTTATTTTTTACTGGATTTAAAGCTGGTATTGGGTGAGATCAGAAATTGCCACCTTCTCCGGGCGCCTGGGTGGCTCAGTCGTTAAGCGTCTGCCTTCGGCTCAGGTCATGATTCCAGGGTCCTGGGATCGAGCCCCGCATCGGGCTCCCTGCTCCGCGGGAAGCCTGCTTCTCCCCCTCCCACTCACCCTGCTTGTGTTCCCCTCTCGCTGTGTCTCTCTCTGTCAAATAAATAAATAAAATCTTAAAAAAAAAAGAAATTGCCACCTTCTGCAATTTTCCTGCTGATAAAAATGATAGATAAGCTAATTTGCACTGTTTAACTGAAAGAGCAATATTTGCCTACATGTAATGGAAAATATATAAAATATTTTTCATTTTCTCAATGTTGGAATAGCTCTTATTGACAGAAAAGTTGCAGTGCCAGGGGCTGAAAATGGAGTTTGACTTTAAGATCTTCAAAAGCTGCTAAGAAAATTAAATGAGTACACAGACAAATAAAATACAAAACAAAATAAGAAATATGGCTATGAGAGACATGGGTACACGCATAGAAATTTAAAGAAAAAAAAAGATGGTTTCTGGCTAAGGGGCAAGGCAGAGAAAATCAGGACATGCTTATAGTAGTATCAGTTTGCTACGGCCTCAGCAAATGGGAAGAAACTGGATATTAAGTTTGAAGACACCCAAATTTGAAGAAAAAAGAAAAAGAAAACTTCACAGTATACATTCAAGTGCAGGGGCCCAGGGCAGACCACCCTAAAATGTGCCGTTTAAGCATAAAGATTATTTCGAGTTAAAATAAAAACCCAACAGATACAGGAAAGGTGCTCTGCCTCCCCCATAACTGCCTTAATATATACTGGAAAGGAGAGCCTATATCAGGAAAAGAAGTATTAATAGAGACTTCCCTTTACCTAAGAGGGAACTTATCTGTATAATAGAACCATGTTATATGTTTTTCCAAACATCTCCTTTGACCTTCTTGCTAATGACTTTTCTCCCCTCTGTATCCTCAGGCCCCTATTCCTCTCCTAAGCTCATATAAGCTTCATGTTGCCTCATTGTGTTTGGAATTCCATGTCTGTATGGATTCTCTGTATGTATGCATATTAAATTTCATTTTCTTTTGTTAAAAAAAAAAGAAAAAGAAAAGTTAGGAAGGACAAACAAAGAGACAAAGGGTAGAAAGTTGCAGTGCCTCATCAGGGAAGAGAGACAGAAAGAAAAGTCAAAAGAAGTCAGGGAGAGCTTGATCACAGAGTTACTGAAGCACCAACACTTTCATGGGGTGAAGGTTAAGGTGGCAGTATATGCAGACAAGCTATAAATAGAAACATGAGAAGAAAAGAGAAGTCAGGTGAGGTGTAACAAAATGCAAATAGGCAGAACAGGGAGGGCTCTGCCGGGTCTCAGCTGTGGTCTTTTTTAATCCTCAGAGTCCTGTGAACAAGCACCCATCCAAGTGAATAATGGAGACACAAAAGAAGTCACACCCAGCCCATTGCCCTGTGATGGAGAAAGTAATTATTACTTATCTTACCAATTTTCTAATTCTATCTTTGTTCTTCTATGAGAGCAAAAGCTTTCCTTTGTTATCTGATACTAACCACCTCCCTGACCCTAACAACACCCAAGACCCACAGCCTTGTGCACAGCCTCTGGCTGCTTCTAAGTCATGTGAGATGCAAGGGGGAAAGAGAGATGAGCTCTTTGATGAAGGGCATGTCCCCAAGGAAAGAATGCAAGGAAAGAAAATATTTAAAAAGTGAACCAAAGAACACCAAATGACAAAGTACATGAACAACATGGGTTTTAGGTAAATTGACATGGAATCCAAACAGTACCATTTTGTGGAGTTGGTGAAAAGAAATAAGTTGCAGCTTGCTTTTCAGAAATTGTATCAGAAACATGGAAACCATGCATGATGCTGCTGGTCAGATTTGCAAGTACAGAAGCTCTGGTGAAGGACTTTTAGAAAAGAAGTGACAACTGGAGGGACTTGGAGTGGGGGGCAGTGGCACAAGAGGAGAACTTTGGTGATGATTGGAATGCTTGAGATGAGAAAAATGAATAGAAAGACAAAAATCAATACAGAAGAGGCATACAGAAAGTCATATTAATAGTTAAGAGACAGAGATCAAGTAGGAGAAAGTAAGAAACATAAAAGAGAACTGATAAACTGAAAAATCAATTAGGGGACGGCAGGGCCCGTTCTAGGGTGAGGCAGGGAGGTCCTGGGATACATGGAAAGAAAATATTACTCATGGTATCTTCTTGTCCCTTGGCACCTCTTCTGACTCACCCTAGACCCTGCTGGGTCCTGGGAGATAGTGATAAAGGATGTTGAGAAAAAGAGTATGAAGAGAGAAATATCCAGAAGAAAATGAATACCAGTAAATAGAAAAAATGGGAATAGGCCTAAAGAGAATGAGCAGAGGATGAGTTAAGGGACCATGAATGAAAACCTGGTAGAGAGTGGACCAAATAAAGAGAGAAGATAAATGAAAACATTGTCCAATTTGAAGAGATGGTCATGAGAAAGAAGGCACAGAGGGCTCTTCCTAATACCATTGAGAAGACATCATTAAGGTGTCTACAGTGACCAAAATGGCCCGTTCACTCCCTCAGATAAAAATAGGCCTCCACCCAGGCATCTCATGTCTTCATGGCTTCAATCACCATCTGTGACCTATGGATTCCTACACACACCTCTGGTCCAGACCTGTCTTCTAGATTCATTCCTTCAAGTGCCTGAAGACTTGTAATCAAAGATCTGAAAACCATCTCTATTTGGAAGCTATATTAATTATCTATTGCTGTGTAACAAACAGTCCCCAAATTCAGTGAATTAAAACAAGCATCACTTTATTTGCCACTTCTGTGAATTCCAACTCTAATATATGTTCAACCTGCCCATTTCTCTCCATTTCCAGGATGCTTACTCTAATCCAGATTCCTATCACTTCTCACTTCAAAATAGAAGAACTCTCCTGCTGGCCTCATCCCTCCTATCTTGTTCCCCTCAGATCCATTCTCCACACTTCGGCTCAACGGGCATTGCAAAAATGCCAACCAGTTCATGTGGCTTTCCTATTTAAACCTAGTACCCTCTTGTGATCCTCAGCATGAGGTCAACACAGCTTGGTGTGGGGTATTGAAGGATACCTCCCATACAGTTGTATAATCTCCCCCTCATACACTCTTCCACCACATTCCCACCATACCAAATTCTGTTTGTTTACTTGAATTGTCAAGCTCTCTCAGTTATATCTCTGCCTTTATACGTGCTTTTGGAAAACAGTTTGGTATACAGTCCCAAAGTTGAAAATACACATAGTTTGTGACGCAGAAATTATATTCCTCAGCCAAAACCAACAGAAATGTACACTACGTTCAAAAAAAGAAAAGAAACACATAGAAGAGCAGCATTATTCATAATAGCCAAAATCTTGAGAGAGCCCAAATGGATTTTTTATGGTTTTATTTTTCATGGGTTATTTCTACAATGGAATACTATACAGCAGTTAAAAAGGAAAATGAATACAGCTGATTCTCACAAATACAATGTTGAGAAAGGAAGCCAAATTTCGCCCCCACCCCCACCCCTGCCAGATGACAGAGAGACAGAGAAAGAGCAAACAAGAAAGAGAGGACATGATTCCATTTATAAAAACATGTATATTTTGGAACTGGCAAAACTGATCATCAGTGGTATTAAAAATCAGGATGAGCAGGTTGTTAACTTGAGTTACACGGTGGAGACAGTTAGGAGGAGGCATCACTAAGAGGCTTCCAGGGTCTAAGTAATCTTCTATTTCTTGACCACAGTGACAGTTTCCCAGATATGCTTACTTTGTGATGATTCAAAATTTATGATTTACCCATCTTTATCTATGCACATTATACTGAAAATATAATTTTTATTTTTAAAAGAGCAAAAAGTGGGGCTCCTGGATCACTCAGTCAGTTAAGCGCCCGACTCTTGGTTTCAGCTCAGGAACATGAGATAGAGCCCCACATTGGGCTCCATGCTCAGTGCAGAGTTTGCCTGAGATTCTCTCTTCCTCTGCCCCCACTAAAATAAATAAATAAATCTTTAAAAACAAAAGAGCAAAAAATAATTCACCAAAGGATGAGAGGAGAAAATAAAAACAAACAAAAAAAACCCCCCAAAATCCAGAGTCCAAAGAGGCACAAAGGAAGGGACACAGTTAAGCAGCAGGAAAGAAGAGGGGTGGGGGCAGAGCTTCACCCCTGCAGTGCATTTACAGGGAGAAGGACTTATCAATAGTAGTGAATGGTGTTTACTCCCTTTGGGGGAGGCCAGTGAAAATTCTTTATTCATTACAATTTGATCCAGGAGCAGAGCTACCCAACTATGGAATCCAAGTCAATTCCTGTTCTGTATTGCTGGTGGATATAAAGAAGGAAAAGCCATTTTTTAACTCAAGAGTTGAACAGCAAGCCCAAGCAGGGACTAACTGTAACCAGGCATCTGACATAATAGGTAAGGCTGACTGAAGAGTGTGTAATGTTCCAGGCAAGGGGCTGGGACATGTCATCAGGGTCCATCGAGGCAGTCCAGTTGGCCTTGAATGGAGGCAAGAGGGGAGGAACCAGTATCATATGCAGTGAGCTCAGCAGGAGAAAGTCCCAGTAATCAGAAAAATACCAAAAGATGGAAATGGTAGATTTAAGTATTAATGTATGGGAGACTATTTCTAAAGCAAAAGAAGAAAGTATGAGGGTAGAAGTTGAAGAAAAGCAAAAGAACATCAGAGAGCCGAGATATTCATGACAGGGGATGAAGAAGGAAACACATGAACACAAAGAGAGGTATTGAGAGAAACCACTGCCAGAAAGAGAGGCATAAGTAGGGGAAATGGGCAAAGCCAAGAGGAGAGTGAAGTAAACTGAGAATAAAAGATAAGAGGGAGCCTGAGGTTGGCTGCGGGGGGGTAGGAGGTCACATGAAGGCAGAGGTAGGAGGTCACGTGAGGGTGGGAGAAGAGTACTGGCAGGGTGGGCAAAGCTGCCCTCTGTGCATGAATTCCATCACCTTTAGTTTAGGACTGGAGCAACCTGCAGGTCACACACATTCAAGCACAGACCAGGGTGCCGTGAGTTAACTTAGCTTCTAGGTCTTCCTAGTGGTCCTATTGCAGAGCCGCCTGCTATGTGGACTCATTGGCCCCACCCTGAAGCTAAAGGGCTTTGCTCCTCTGTGCAGTGATCAGCAGTGACTCCGAGGAATCCAATGATGAAGACGAGCCCCCAGAAGCCTCCACGTCAGCACTGGAAAGCGGGCCTGGTGAGGAAGTGGGAAATCAGGCTTTGGCTACACGAATCTGAATTAAGAACTACTGTTTGATGCATCTTATTCTGTGCCTATTCTGTATGATAGATTCAGTTTATCCTGGAATTCGATTCTCTGCATTTATTTTACTTGACCTTTTTGGGAAATGCAGGAAGATAAAAAATCATTAATATATATACTTTTTAAAGATGAGGCCTATTAACTGATAGGTCCTATTTATCAATACAAGCACCCATATATTGATTATATAGCAGAAAGGGGCTACCAAAATGATGAATTTGTTTTTAAAACTAGTTAGTTTCTATGCTTATATGGTGTTGGATTTATAGTGATTTCTCTTTTTTTTCTTTAAATTTTTTATTGTTATGTTAATCACCATACATTACGGATTTATAGTGATCTCTATAGGGAACAGAAAGCTAAATATTCTTTTATTCTAAGGTCATATTGTTATCTGAGCACAAACTGAATTGTGTCAAAAGACAACTCATCCAGCTATCCAGTTTTAGCAGAAAAAAAGATTCAGATAGAGTACTCTGAAACCCAAAGTATTGTTTTTGGGAGTTCTTCAGCAAGTCATGTGTATATAATGATTTTTCCAAGGACTTTTGCAAATAATACCTTACTTTTTAATTTATAACAATCTTAAGTACCCCAGACATTGTTATCCTTGTTTTCTAGAGAAAACACAATCACATCAATGTTTCAAGGTCTTCTACAAAGTCTCATGGAGAATTAAAGGGACAGACAAGACTAGCATCCTGGATTCTGCATTTTTGCTTTATAAAATTAGAGCTAAAGATGTTTACCAAAATGTTATGTTTCCTCAATTTCATGGGTAGCATGAGTGGTCCTAAGATTTGCAGCTCTTTTGTGCACACATTGGTGATTTGTTTTCCCTTTCTGCATTCTAGACCCAGAGGGTATTAGAAACATGCCTATTTGGGGAAATATACTTGGAAAAGACCTAAAAACAAATAAAAATATTACCTGGTCCTGATGTTACCAAAGAACATTATTTTAAATGATACATCGTTCTTATTGCTCACTAGATCCATCAAAGTAAAATGTAAACTAGCTTCAAGTTTTAAAGGGTACACATTTTAACTTTTGTCTTAGTGTAGCAAACTGCTCTAAAAGGCAGTCCCAAAATATGTCTAGGATGCAGACACAGGAGATTATTTCTCAGCCTTGCAAACGCACTGGGTTGGAGGGGAAGTAGAAGAGGCTTGCGGTTGTCAACACAAGATTTCCAAGATTTCCTCCCTTCCAAGGTGAGAAACAGCAGAGATGAAGGAAGTGTGAAGCGACAATAGAAGGGGTAGGAAGTAGAAGAGAGAGAGTATGGGAAAGTAAGGCTCAGACAGAGCAAAGTTGCCCCTTGCCTATGGGGACAGGAAATGGAGTGTGACTACCATTCAAGGCAGGTGGGTTAGAAGGACAGACCAGGGTGGCACTGTTGCAGACCACAATTTGCATGGGTTTTCTAGATTTTCTTACGAGGATATTTCCTGCTAATATTTCATTTTCTTGGTCACACACTGAGACCCCTAAAAAGTCCTCTTCCTTTGTGCAGTGACCAATAACCTTGACTCATTAGAATCAAGTGAGCGAGGAGAATCCCAAGAAGCCACCTGCTCAAGACTTCAGATTACACTAGGTAAGAACATTAAGATTGCAACCCTGGATGACAAATACTCAGAGTCTAAATCCAGAGCTGTTTTCCTGATGAATCTTGTTTTAGATGCTCTATGTGCCTTGATTCTATTACTTCTAAGGACTGTTTTCTGCATTTAATTTCTCTGGCCCTGTTGGGAAGTGGAAGGAGGCAGGAAGGCATTATAAATTGTTATTTAACTGTATGGGCCCATTTGATTGATATATAGAAAATGTAGCAAAAATATGCTGGTAAAATGACAAACTTTTTTCTACACACTATCATGTATTAATGCTAAAGAGTTGAAATAATGTACTTATTCTCTACCAATATGCTTTATATTCTATCCAATAAAGTAAGCACGATGTACCTCTGTTTGTTGAAAATATTGTCATTAGTCCCAAACTTAGAAAACCTTCAAAGAATAATTTGTGCTGCTGTTTAATTATTGATAGGAAAGTGACCTCTGATCAGCTATTCTCAAACCCAACTTACTTAAACCATTGGCTTACACTGTGATTTTTTAAAAGGCTTTTGTAAATAAAGCTTCATTTTGTTTTCATAAAAAACCTTAACAGGGAGATAGGGTAACTAGGTTATCCCAGCTTTATAGATAAGGCAACTGTGGCTAGTCATGTTGAAGAATCATTTACAAATTTACACGGAGAGTGAAAAGGAGAGCCAAGCAGGAACCCAGCATTATACCCCAGGCCACCCAGAACTGGATTCAGTTGAAGGAAAGAGAGAAAAATGATCATCAAAGTATTATTATGATTGCAAGCCCATTGAATTGTCACAGAATTTGTAAGATTATTGCATAGAAATAATTGTTTCTTCCCTTTTACTTTATAGACTCCATGGATTTCAGAAAATCGCCTACATTCAGAGAAAGAGTTTGGAAAGTAGGTAAGGGCAAGTAAAAACTCTTCGTGGTTACAAATGAACAGCGTTTTCTACAAAAGATTCATTCTAATTCTTTGCTATATCCTTCAGAGTAAAATATAAATTCGTTTTAAGATGGTTTGTATTTTAACTTTTGTATTAGGCTAATGGTTGTAACAAGCAAATCCAAAGAAGTCAAGCATTCAAACACAATAGAATTAAATTTTTTTCTCAAGTAAACATTCCAAGGAATTTTAGATGGGGGACGTGTGGGACACTGTTTCATGTGTGGTTCGGGGAAGCAGCCAAGTGGGAAATCTGCCTTCTTCAATACCAGACTCCCAAGATGTCCTGGGGATATTCTTGCTGTGGGCTTTTTAACCTCTTGGTTCCTTTGTCATACACTGAGACTTTTAAGGGACACTTGCTTCTTCTGCAGTGAAAAGATTTGATGACTATTCAGAGTCCAGTGAGGAAGAGGAGCCCCTGAGAGCTTCGAGCTCAGCACTGAGAAGTGATCCTGATGAGGAGGGTGAGGACTGCCATCACTGGGCTCCCGGACACAAGGAATCTGAGTTGAGAGTTCTTGTTTCCTGGGCATTTTACTCCAAGCACACTCCACAGCCTGGGATCCCATTCTCTGCATTTATCACATCTGGCCATTTTGAAAAATGCAAAGAGAGAAATCATTATAAATTCAGGTAGCAAGACGGTGCTAGTTGAATGGCAGTGCCATTTTTACTACATGCTCTCAGATTTATTAACCCCAAAGTACGAATTACATAGTGATTTCCACCCCTGCCCACTCCCATTTTCTAGAGAGCAGAGAAAATGGGTATCTGCGGTTGCTTGATTTTGTTGCAAACTTGTTAAAAAATCAGAAGATTCTGATCATAGACTCTGATTATTGAAGAAAGAAAAGCTTCTAGTTATTACCATCAAATTCAATTTATAGCTTTTGACAGATGACCCCAATATGACATTGGCCTATATAATGATATTTGAAAATATCTTCACTAATAAAATATCTTTTTATGTTTGTAACAACTTTAAAGATAGGCCAGATAACTGTTGCTCTCTCCACTCCACAGGTGGGGAAACTCTAGCACATAAACATTTAAGGATATTTTACGCATCTTATATGGAAATTTACTAGAAGAAGCAAAACAGCCTGGACTCCTAGCAAACATCCATAGTCTTTTATCCAAAACCTTTGAAGGGTGCCTGGGTGGCTCAGTTGTTAAGCGTCTGCCTTCAGCTCAGGTCATGATCCCAGGGTCCTGGGATTGAGTCCCGCATCGGGCTCCCTGCTGGGCGGGAAGCCTGCTTCTCCCTCTCCCACTCCCTCTGCTTGTGTTCCTGCTCTTGCTGTCTCTCTCTGTCAAATAAATAAAAATAAAATCTTTAAAAAACAAAAACAAAAACAAAAAACCTTTGAAGCCAGACATAAAATAGTAATCTGTTAGACAATATGGTTTATATCCTATATATTGCCAAAAAAAAAAAATCCAATAGGGTCTGGGAAAGAATCGCATTCTCAAATATACTATACTAACGTTCCTGCAACACATAGTGTGAATTCACACCAAGCATGAGAAATAAAGGTTTTACATGGACTCATGACAGCTCAAGTCCAGATTCGCCACTGAAGTGGTTAACTGAAAACCTGTGGGAAAAATATGGATTTTCAAAACTTCTTTGATTTTGCAGTTGGGGCCAAAGGTTTGTGGTTCTCTGCTCCATTTAGTAGTGATCTTTTTCCTTTAGATGGGAAGAGACAGAAGTGATCATCATAGTGTCTCTCTAGTCCAAATCCTGTCTACAATATGAGTACTCATAAGATTTACAACTCTTCGTTGTAGATTACTGGTTGTACTTTCCTTTACTTTTTAGATCCTGCGGATGTTGGAGACAAACCTATTTGGGGGATAAGCAAGAGGAAAAGATGTAAGGGCAGTGAAAACTCTTGAGCAACAAATATCTTTCTTTACTACAAAAACTTCACTCAAAAATTTTTGTTATATCCTCTAAAATTAAAAAAAAATTAATTTGTTGGCAATTTAATTGATTCTCGTCATACATTTTGAATTAGGTGGGCTGGGCTAATTGATACAACACGTAGGCCTCAAAAAGTTGAATGGCACAGTGCAATAATAAGTATATTCTTCATTTGCTTAAAGAGGATAAAGTAACTCGTGGAGTGGAGGGGTGTTCTGCTTTGTACGATTGTTGAGGGCCCCAGCTGATAGAGGCCCTGACATCTTGAAAACGTTGCTTCCACAGACTCCCTGGATAAGCAAAGGAACTGGAAGAAGAAGTATGTTCAGACAAGTGGAGAGGGTAAGACATGGTGACAAAAGGTAGTGCCTTCCATGGCAAAGTTGTCCCACAGCCCAGCCCTGGGGGTGGTTCCCGGAGCAACCCTGACCAACAGGTCAGAAGGAGCCACACAGTAGCCTGGTGGTAGGAATATTCCTGCTCCTCCTACATGAGCTTTCTTTTCCAATTTTCCTTTTAAAGGATTTGGTGCTGGATTGGTTGCTAGGACACAGATTGAGACTGCTAAGGAATTTTATTTCTTTCTGCAGGGATCAGCAGTGGTAACTTTTCAGAATTAAGTCATACAGAAGAACCTCAGGAATCTTCTGGCTCAGTCCTAAGAAGTGGGTCAGGTAAAGAAGATTAGGATGCCAAGCCTTGGCCTGCAGAATGTCAGGAATTAAAAGCTACTGTTTCCTGATGCATTTTATTCTGAGCACCTTGAAGACCTGTATCCAGTTAATCCTGGGAACTCCTTTTCATCATTTTAGAAAATAGGAGACAGGAAATTATTATAAATTCATGTTTAACAGGATGAGTCCTATTGAAAAAAATGTATGTAATTATATACTGCTGTTGTGGAAGAAATGAATAGCAAATGGTGGTATCTTTTTAATACCTACTGTCATGCCTACTAAGATCTTAGATTCCTATAGTGATATATTGATTGACATTAATGTCATTTGTAATTGTAAAAGCCTCAAAAGACGACTGGTCCTGCTATGTAATTATAGACAGAAATAAAAGCTTCAGATCAACAACTTTCAAACTTTAGTATAGTTTTTGACAGATGTCCATCACACTGTAATTTGATTATATTGTGTTACTTTAAAGTACTTTGGCAAATAAGATCTTACTTTGTCATCACAATATCCTCAAGACTTAGGCAGGCTAATTTTTGTTATGCCCATTTTGGGATGAGGAAATAGACATATGACCAAATTGTCCAATTTGACCAAAGGTCAAAAAGTATGACTATTGTATGTAACAGGCAGGAATAAAAAAGCTATATCCAGTGATCGAAGTCCAAAAAGGAGATACAAGGGACCTGATATATAGTATCAGCAGAACGTATCAGTGCCCGATGCAAGAAAACTTATTTAACAACTATATAAATGATGATGATGATGATGATGATAGATGATAGACAGATAGATAGATAGATAGTAGATAGATAGACATATAGATGATAGATAGATGATAGATAATAGATAAAAATGAAAATCATAAAGAAAAATAAGATGGTAGGAGTGGTGTCAGCTATAAGGAATACAAAATACCTAGAAGGGCAGAACCAAAAAGGATGAATAGAGAAATAAAAAGGCACAGAAATTAAGAATATCACTGATGAAAAGAGAGAAAACAACACAGAGGACAAGAGAAATCAGGGAAATCAGGGAGAGAAGCTCACAGAATCAAGTGATGGAAATAGAAATGTGTAAGGCAGGGAAATGGCCAGAAAACTGAAAAATAAGGAGGAGAATGAGGTAGGGCCAGATAGAAAAGGTGACAGAACACATCTTTGTTGGATATAAGGTGTAGTAATTGGAGTGGGTGTTTTCCCAGCTTATCTGAACAGTAAATATAAATGAGCTTAACCACATCAAAGTGGTCACTCTCTATAGTCTGTCATTTCCTTATTTCCCTTCAGTGTCCTCCTGTGAATTCAAAGCTCTTCAGATAAAATAGAGGAAGAGAGTCAGAAGAGATGCCAACGTATAAGCATCTGATGGAGAAGCCAGTTACGATATTAATTATCTTTGTTTTCCTGTCTACAAAGAGGGAAAGCTCTTCTTTCTTTACCTTACCTCTTCCCCAAAAACATAGCATGTACATGCACACACACTCCTATACATAGGCTTGTGCACAGATTTGGACTGCTTTCAACAGATTTGAGGGAGCCAAAAGAGAAAGAAGAGCTGTGTTCCTGAATGGAGGGAGGTGACACTGAATGGATAGTGTAAGGAAGAAGAATGGAAAAGATAGGCTGGGGTCTCCAAATGGAAAGACATCTGACTGAGTATACTCCAAGTTTTTTCAAGTGGACGTGGAACCCAAATATCACCAGTTTGGGGAGTTTTGTGGGGCAAGAGTGATGATTTTCAAGATACCTCTCAGGAGTTGTACCAGAAACATGGTAATAAAGTCCGTGACTGACTGAGTCTTGCAATGTAGAAAAGCCCATAGGGAACTGGCAAAAGTAAAAGTGGTCAACAGTGTGGTCAGTGTCAAAAGAGTAGGTATTTGGTCATGAATGACAGTAGAAGTCTGTGATGTGAAGCTGAATATAGATAAAATATAAATACAAAGATTGTAATTGTAAAAACAGCCAAAAAATCAAGATAAGATTAAGAGAAACAGACTAGAAGCAAAGAGAAAATGGAAAAGGAAGTGACATTAGAAAGAGGATTACTTCAATAATAAAACTAGATCCAGGGATAGAAGCATAGGAAAATAGATGAAATGACGTACATATATAGGGTAATAAATGGAGAGGAGAAAGAGGAGGCACACAGAGAACCACATAGAAAAAGAGTTAAAAGATGAGCGAAAAATGACAAGAGTGTAAAAGGAAGAGAGGCGAGATGGAGAAATTGTGGGATCTGAAATGGTCAGGAGACAAAGGCAATGTTGGTGCAAGGGATTGGTTCACAGTGGGAAGTGAGTTTTCAGGGCAAGGTGTTCCCAGGTAGCAGTGTACCCTATAACTCACCCAGATTACAAGAGACGTCTCCCAGGCATCTCATCCACTCCTATGGTTTCAATCACCACCCACAACTTAATCGTTCCTAAGCAGACATACCCAGCCCAGCCCTGACCTCTAAGCAGATAAGCTCATCCAACCAAATGGCAGAATGATCTCTGTCCGAGGTTCTGAATGTCCTAGCCTTCACCACTTTAGGTGTCTTCCAAAACCTTCAAACCTTCGACACTTCCAAAAATGAGCAACCAACATCTGCTAAAACCAACATCTGCTCCTCCAGTGTTCCTAAAACCAACATCTGCTCCTCCAGTGTTCCCTGTTTCTAAAACACACTATTAATTGTCCCATTCTTTCAAGTTGAAATTCAGAGTCACTCATGACACCATTGTCTCCTCAATTGATACACCACATCTATCACCTAACTCTTATCAATTCTTCCTTTTAAATCTCCAACCTGTCCCTTCATCTCCATTCCCAGTACTGACACTCTAATCCACATCTATATCACTTGTCACTTGAACTAGATCTGCAAGGTCCTGTTCTCCTTCTAATCTTGTTCCCACCAAATGTAGTCTAAGTGATTTAGCTAAATTGATCTTTCAAAACTGCATCCCATGTCCTTTAACTTCCTTTAGGATTAAGTCAATTCTCCTTCATGTGGCCTCCAAAGCCGCTTACCTCAGGGCTCTTGCCTCTTTCTCCATCCTCATCAATGCTCCTTATTCTTTCACTTCATTCTCAAATATATGTAACTCTTTGTGGTTACTTGCTTTCGCTGAATCTAGACTTTTGTACATGCTTCTTCATATTTCAATATATTCAGTCATTTGTTTCTGTGTCAATTCTCTGGTTGCTCATAAGATTGACAAGCACCAATGCTTCAATCGTCTGGTGTCTGAATTATTATCAGCACCCATCTCAGCACCTGGCACCTGAAAGAGGCTTAGGAAACTTCTTGAGTGCGTGAAAAATATTGTTCACTTCCTATATTCAAACATTTATAGTATTTATACAGAATATTTATAAAATCTATTTTAATAATTGAATTCTATATATACATATATATAAATAAATAATATTTCTAGAAAGAATAATATCACATAAAATAAATATAAGAGTATGCTTAAAATGTAAAAGGATGGATGGGAAAAGCATATAAAGAAAAAGTAGAAGAACAAAAATACAGATTTGGGGCAAAGAGAAAAGGATAAAAGAGAAAAAATAGATTGAAAGGAAGGGACAAAGACAATGGGGATCAAACAAAGAAAGAGATTTCTGAGGTAGAGACATCCTTTAGTGGAGGGGTGGGGGAAGGGAGGATCATTGGAAGAGAGGAGATGCAAATGAAAACTCTTTACAAATCATAATTTAGGAGCAGAGCCACAAGGACTTGGAAACGAAAAGTGTTCCTGTGTCATGTGTTTTTCACAAGGTATTTCAAGAGGCCAAGGAGCAAGGACTGAGAGTAGCCAAGCATCTGACATGATGGGTAAGGCTGCCGGAGGGTCTTGGGGTGGAGGTGGTTCTTCGGATGCCACAGACCCTGGGCATGTAGTTGATCAGAGTTCAAGGACATCAGACAGCTCACCAATGGAATGGCCAGTTATGGAAGTGGAGGGTCACACGGCCCTAGGCTGCAGGATGTCAGGAGTCTGTTTTTGTTGCCTGCTGCACTTGACTCTGAGCACATTTTGATAAGGAAGAGGTACATCCATGCCAGAGTCCCATTCTCCGCATTTGCTTGACCTGAGCCTTTTGGGAATGGCAGGGAGGCAAGAGATTCTTTTAAAGTTAAATGTTAAATAGGGTGGACCTTGTGGATTTACATGGATGATCTAGTAGAAATACACTGGTAAAAATGGCAGTATCTCATTTACTATATTAGTGAGTCAATACTAAACTATTGGATTTATATAATGACATCCACCCTTGTCCATGGAACGAAGAAATCTAAATGTTCTTCAGCTGGTAGATAATAGTGTCACTTTGTCACAATTTTGGAAAAGCCTCAAAAGACAAATGATCCTGTTATCTGTCAGGAAACAAAGGCTCCAGATAATTAAACTCTATTCTTAAACTCGGCATATAGTTTTGAAGGCTACCCTCCAGTATGTTGACTAATACAGTGATTTCTCATTAGCTTTTGTAAATAAGATCTTATTTAATTGTCATAAAAAATTTAAAGCCTGAACAGGATAACAGTTGCTATCCCTCTTTCATGAATGAGGAAACTGATGTCCTTAAGAAATTAAGAGCATTTTCAAAGTCCCAGAGAAATAAAGGAAGACCTTAGATATCAATTCAGTACCTGTCTGTTTCCATTATAAGGAAGGCAGAGAAATGATACTCAGGTCATTATAAACTCAAGCCTTCCACAGTGTGAATTGTCATAAGATTTATAACTTTTATTTATAAATTACAGTTATATGACTACCACCTGTTACTTTCTAGATACCATGGATATTGGAAACAATTCTACTTCGGGAAAACACAATGAGAAAATAAGTAAGAATGAATAAGAATTTGCTTGATTTTTATGTTACAAATGAAGTGTTTTTTAATGCTAAAGCTTATCATCATTTTTTATTCCTTTCATAAGACAAAAAAATGAATGTCTTTTAAAGTAACTATTTTTTTCCAAAATGGTTGTATCTTCGTGTCATATTTTATTCTGATTTTAAAATATGTTTCTTATAAGCATTGGTGTTATGTCTTCCCAGAATTTTTCTATGCATGTATTAACTCAGTTTGAGGTATATTTTTATATATCTTCATATGGTAATTTTATACATACTTTTCCTTTTCTTGCTTTTTAAAATTAATATATCATACCTAAGCAGTAAACACATTTAACATTTTAATTGAACTATAAAAAGTCTTATTTGGTGCTTTCACATGCATTAGTCTTAATTTTTAGGGTGGTTGAGCATTTTTCATCTGTTATTGGTCATTTGTTTTTCCTCTTTATTGAAGTCTTTGTCATAGAGTGCTGTGAAGTTTCCAGTTGTGGTGTTTTTCTTTTTCTTACATTGCTGAATGAATATAGAAAAGTTTATCTGATATATACATTAAATCCTCACCATATGTGTTGCTAATATGTTGTCCCATTTGTTTTCCTTTCCTTTCCTTTTATTTATTTATTTATTTATTTATTTAAATTTAGGATTATTTATTTATTTTCGAGACAGAGAAAGCATGAGTGGGGACAGGGGCAGAGGGAGAAGGAGGGAGAGAGAGAATCCCAAGCAGACTCCCCGCTGAGCACAGAGCCCTACTGGGGGCTCGATCTTATCACCCTGAGATCATGACCTGAGCAGAAATCAAGAGTCAGATGCTTAACTGACTGAGCCACCCAGGCGCCCCTGTTGCTTTCCTCTAAGGTTTGTTAATGGACTCTTTTGTCCTAAAGACATTATAAATTTTTAGGTAGTCAGATTTTCAGCTTTTCTCTCTCTGGCTCTTGGGTTTCCCATCATTTTTATAACAGCCATTTCTAGCTGAAGATTTAAAAAATATTGTCCCATATTTGATTCTAGAATCAAATGTTTGAAGTACCTGATTATTTTTAATGTTTACACCTATAATTCTGTGGGGTTTGCCTCTTTGCTTTTATGTGAGGTCAGAATTTCAAAAATATTTCCTACACTACTACCTTGTGATTGAAGCTGCCACTTTAATCACACACCTGTCTATATACTAGATTTTCTTTTGCAACCAAAGAGGCTACAGAAAAGAAGAGAGAGCTCAAAGGTAGCACCATCCTGATGACTCACTGGGGGTTAATTTTAGAATCAACTCAAGAAGATTCCCCCCCCACCTCCTTCCCAAATTCACTGGAATCTCTGATTAGAAATGCACTAGGTGTTATATGTAAGTGATGAGCCACTAAATTCTATACCTGAAACCAGTTTTACCAATATGATAACTAACTAGAATTTAAACAAAAACTTGAAAAAAAAAGAAATGAATTGAAAAATGTGGATTCATTTTGGGAGAACAGAGACTATTACCCACTTATTCACATCTTATTTAATGTTCTTCCAATAAGAATCTTCTTACACTTTTTAAAAAGTCTAATGTGGTGTACAAATTTGTTTGTCACTATGAATATCTTTTTTTCCCTATTACATAATACCTGGAGTGAATTTAAATGAGACAACGATCTCAAAATCTTTATTTAAATAGGAAATCTGTGGTCATTTTATTACCTACTTGCATGTGAGGAGCTCAGAATGCCAAGGATTTTTTCCTAATTTAATATAAAATCTTATAAGCATTTATACAGTTTAGGGATCCAAATATCAGTTAAAATATGATGGCCAGTATGGAATTGTTGAATCACTATTTTGTACACCTGAAACTGGTATAACATTGGAATTAAAATAAAATTTAAAAAAATATGATGGCCAGGCCCAGGAATTATCAAGACAGTCAATCAGAATTAAGGCTACTTTGGAACTGTTTTCATGCGAAGTGGTAATAATTTCTAATTTGGGGGAGTATTACAAGACCCATTCGAATTAACTCTCCCAAGGACAAATTTTTATTAACAGAGAAAAGAACAAATTGGTAATGGTTACTAATAGACATATCTCCATATTTTACAAGAGAGTAAACTTACCTTTTTATGAAATTTCTCAATTTAATGCTTTGTCAAATCATATTCTTTATGTTAGTTTATGGTACAGAATGTTCTTTCTCCTTCCGCAGCTATAGGTTGAGGGGGACTTTCCCTCCATCTCTTTCTGTAATTCCTTGTTAGTTTTACATATATAAAGATTTTTATTTATTTATTTGAGAGAGCACGAGAAAGAGCACAAGCTGGGGAGAGGCAGAGGGAGAGGGAGAAGCAGACTCCCTGCTGAGCAGGGAGCCTGACTCCGGGCTCCATCCCAAGACCCTGGGATCATGACCTGAGCTGAAGGCAGATGCTTAACCAACTGAGCCACCCAGACACCCATCCTTGTTAGTTATAAAAACTTACATTTTTCAAATCTGATTTCTGGATTTCATTAGACAACCGTATAAGAAATGCAGGCCCATAGAGTTCAGAAATACATAGTTGGCAGAAAATAGAGAAGGGCCTGAAAAGGATTTTACCTAAAAACAGTAAAATAGGTCCATAGAGATTTTTTTTCTCCTATAGTTTCCTACTTATTTCTTAAATCTGAATCAGCTTGAGATCCCCTGTGTTTTTTATTTTCAGATTTCCTTTCTTGTCTTCACCTAAATACATAATGTGAATGATTTGTTCAGTATTTAGGTGATGATGCTTATGATACCTTCTTTGTTTTTATTTATTTATTTTATTGAAGATTTTATTTATTTATTTGAGAGAGAGAGAGAGAGAACATAAGTGAGGGGAGGGGCAGAGAGAGAAGCAGACTTCCCGCTGAGCAGGGAGCCCAAGGCAGGGTTCCATCCCTGGGATCATGACCTGAGCCAAAGGCAGACACTTAACCGACTGAGCCACCCAGGCACTCAATTGATACCTTTTTTTTTTTTTAAGATTTTACTTATTTATTTGACAGAGAGAGACACAGCAAGAGAGGGAACACTAGCAGCAGGAGTGGGAGAGAGAGAAGCAGGCTTCCCGAGGAACAGGGAGCCCGATGCAGGGCTGAATCCCAGGACTCTGGGATCATGACCTAAGCCGAAGGCAGATGCTTAACGACTGAGCCACCCAGGCACCCCCAATGATACCTTTTTTAAAAAAGACTACATCTTAATAATATTATATACACATTATTACTTACAGGCTAAGTATTATTACCAATTCTGTATTATTTTCTTTTATCTCCAAATACTGACGACCCTTCTTTATCCACATTCCATTTACCAGACCTCATCCTAATGGGTTTCATCATATTCCCTTGTCACTGCTTTGTTTACCCACTGCAACCTCCCAACCCTTCCACAACTTCTCTTTCCTTGTAAATCAGACCACATCTATACTGACAACCACCAAAACTCAGTCTCCCTTCAAAGTACTCATTTTAGGTGAAGATACAGACTTCAAAACTGCCCATGATTACTTACTGGAGTAGCATGAGAAATTTGGCAGAATGGAAGGAAGAGCCAGATTTGAGGGCAATATGAGTGTTCCCCCAAACAGGGGTATAGAAGGCTTCAGTAAATAGGTCAAGATCTTGAAAGACCGAACAAGCTCATGCTCATGCTTAAGACTGGGTAGAACCTTGTTGGCTACAGATGAAGTCCCCATAGCTCAGCCTGAAGGATATGACAGGACAATTCACAGTGACCCCTACTTCCACAGACTAAGGGGATGAACCCAGAGCTCCCCTTCTTTTTTAAGCTCTAAGTTTAACCCAGAGGCAGAGTCAAGGATCTTGTTTGCAGCATGGCTCAAGGTATAATCACAACACTGGTTCCCAGTGACATTTGTGCTTATTGACATAACCCCACAATACAGAAATCTTGGGTATTAAATGCAAGGTGAGAGGCTCCATATGTCCCCACAATAATGAAACAGAGAAGGGCTAATTCTGCAAGGTTGGGCCAGTGTTGTACCCCAAATATTTAGGGTGTTTTCCTTTTTTAGCAGTCCTTGCCCTAGGTAAAATGTACTAGCATCACAGGAATTCCTTCTTCCTGCTACATGGCAGGTGAGAAAAGACTCTGCATTAGAAATAGTTAAGCCTTTACATACTGATGCATCCAAGAATATGTTGGATGAATAATTTAAATGAATAAATTAATTCTCTTGGTGAAAAATTGAATCCACATAAATAATTGTACAAAATATGTACTTAAAGCAAAAAAAGAAAAACACAATAAAATAAAGGGAGAGATAAAGAAATGTCAGAAAAGTACAAATTACAAGGTTGGTGTGTGGGTTTCTTTTTAGAGAGAGAGAGAGAGCGCGCGCGCACGAGTGCGTGAGTTAGGGGAGGGGCAGAAAGAGAGGAAGAGAGAGAATCTTAAGCAGGCTCCATGCTGAGCTTGATCTCACAACCCTGAGATCATGACCTGAGCCAAAATCAAGAGTCGGAGGCTTAACTGACTGAGCCACCCAGGCGCCCCTAGTCCCTTTCTTTGAAGATTGGTGATTTTTGGTTGTAGACTCTTTGTTATGGATAGTGATGTTGTAATCAATGTTGCTGGTTAATGAGGGTTCTCTGTAGATCCCATTATGAAGGTGAGGCTACCTCTGGACTGCATGTTCCCAGGAGGACTGTAAAGAGTGACCATAGCTGGGTGGACCTCCTGGCCTCACAGGAGAGGCAGGGGGAGGCAGCATGTGTGGAGAGCAGTGATGGAAGGTGAGGCAGACCTCTTCCCAGGAGCCTGGGCCTGAAGGGATCTGAAGGGATCTGTCCCTGACAAGCTGATTTCTCCAGTCAAGAGGATGGAGCTGGTGTGGCTTGTCTGAGGGTGGCCTGCAGTGATCACCAGATCATGGCCTTTCTGACAGGGTTGTTGGCTACCTCTTACCTCCTAACACCTGGCAGACTTTGGCATCAGTGTGATCAGGTGAGTAAGCT